GCGCGGCAAGCCGCCCTACTCCTACATCGCGCTCATCGCCATGGCCATCGGGCAGGCGCCCGAGCGGCGCCTCACGCTGGGCGGCATCTACCGCTTCATCACCGAGCGCTTCCCCTTCTACCGCGACAGCCCCCGCAAGTGGCAGAACAGCATCCGCCACAACCTCACGCTCAACGACTGCTTCGTGAAGGTGCCCCGCGAGCCCGGCCGCCCGGGCAAGGGCAACTACTGGACGCTGGACCCGCACGCGCGGGACATGTTCGAGAGCGGCAGCTTCCTCCGCCGCAGGAAGCGCTTCAAGCGCAGCGACCTCTCCACCTACCCGGCCTTCCCGCCCGAGCGCCCCGCCGCCGTCCCGGGCCGCCTCCCGCCGCCCGCCGCCGCCTCCTCCTGCGCCTTCGCCTACGCGGGCTCCGCCGCCGCGCCCGCCGCGCTGCCCGGCCCGTTCGCGGCGCTGCCCGCGGGCGGCTACGCGGGCGCGCAGCTCTGCGGCCCCGCCGCGCGCCTCGTGCTGCCCGCGCCGCCGCCCGCGCCCTTCGCGCCGCTGCCGCCCGCCTACGGCGCGCACGGCTTCGCGCCGCCGCTCTGAGCAGCGCGGGCCGTCCGCGAGGGGCGGCCCCGGCCCCGGCGGCGAGCCCGGGGCGCCCGCATCCCCCCGGGAGACTCCGCAGGGCGCGCGGGAGCGCCCGGCGCCCCGTTCCGCGGTGCGCGGGGCGCCGCTCTGTCCCGCGCTGCCTCCCCGCCACGCCAAGCCCGGAGGATCTCAGCCGCTCAGAATTCCTTTGCCGTTTGGCGCTTTATTCCTGGAATGCGGTGTCCGCCGGGCGGACGGGTGGGAGGGAGCGTGGAAGAGCCCTTTCCCCAGCTTTGTGAAACAAAACAAAAGTCATAAAATTGTCATGTGCGGCACCAGCATGGTCATGCATCCCTGGTGTCGTGCAGGGCTGCATTAGCACTAGGCTTATCAGCCTTGTCTGCTGATAAGGTAGCTGGGGCACGGGAAGCTCTGGTTCATATTATTACCAGGGCACCAGTCTCGGGGAGAAATGTAAATGGAACTGAAGGAAGAAACAGATGAGTTCTCTCCCTACCTGCCTCAGCTGATCTGCTTGTATCATGGAATGGGTCCTGACACAAGCTGCATGGACTTCCATGTTCTCCTGGATCCTGAAGGTGCAACCAGACACAGCAGACTTTGCAGACCCGCAGGGTTTGCTGTGGATTTCAGGGGATTTGCAGAAATAACGGGGCTGGAAGAGTGTAAACACTTTCACCAGGAGCATGCTCAACACCCAGAAGAGGATCCCCAGCAAGGCTGGGGGATCTGCACCCCTGGAGGTGTTGCCGACTTGACTGGACAAAGACTGAAGCAAACTGACTTTGCTTGGATGTTGAAATTCAGCACTGAAGTTGGACCTGCTTTGAATGGAGATTAGGTCCAGAGACCTCCGGGGATCCTACAGCCTAAGCTACCTTAAAGTCTTCTTCTGTAGTCTTAACCTTGTGTATTCTAAAGCAATTAGCCTCTATGGGGAGCAACTTCCCTTTCCTCCTAAAACAAGCGAGAGAGGCAGGACAGGGTGTCTCTGGTTCATTTCCCTTCAGTCCACCTAGAATGGAAAAAAAAAATCCACAGAAAATGGAAAGTTGACAGGAGGAACTGTGAGAGTTAAAAGCTTGAAAATGGGTGCAAAGGAAACCATGAGGCAACAAAAAGCAGATGCCCACCCCCTGTAGATCCAACTACTCCATGAAGGATCTCAGGGAGCAGAGAAATTCCTAGAGCTGTGAACAGAGAAGGGAGCAGATGCAGATCTGCTGTAGTCAGGATCGCCTTGTCCAGTTCCCAATGCCTGGGTGGAGTTGGCATCAGTGTCACCTAAGCTAGGAGGTGGATGCTGAGACAGTTGTGCAAACTTGGTGAGGACTTGAATGGGAAGAGAGAGGAGGGAAAGAGGTGGGAATGGGAGCAAAGAGGTGGAAAGTGGAGCCAGAGCCTCAGCAGGAGCTTCTGGAGGAGCTGGGAGAGAGCACGCGTGTACCAGAGTCTCTGTCTCACTGCAGAAGGGCCTGATTCAGGAGACCATAGGTCAAATTCAAATTGGAAGAGGCTTCCAGAGATTTTCAGCTCGTTTCCTTTTGCTTGAAGCATGGTCACCTATGAATTAGGGTCACCTATGAATCAAGGTCACCTATGAACCAGGCACGTTGTTCAGGTAATACCCGGTTGGGTCTTGAAAACTCCCAAGGATGGCGACTTCACAACCTCTCTGAGAAAACTGCTTTAATACCTGATTATCCTCACGGGGGCAAAGCTTTCCCATGTGTCTGCTCAACACCTCTCTTGTTGCTTTTTATGTCTCTCGTCTCTTGTCCTCATGCCCTGTGCTGCTGTCTCCTGAAGGTACCTGTGCCTCCTGATCCATGAAGGACTTTTCAGATGAGGACCTCAGCAGGATGAAGTTTGTGTAGAAGCAGTTTGGGGAAAAGCAGGTCCCTTGCACTCTGTGAGTGCTCTAGTGTCCCACCAGGTGGTGGAACATAAGAGAAAGGAGATGGAGAGGAGTGTGAAGGTGAAGGGATGTCCCTCAGCACTGGGCAGGTGGCTGGCTGCAGGTCATGGAAGGAGCTCAAGCACCGAAGGAGCCTCAGAACTTAAGGGTTTGGCCTCCATGGGATTGTGAGGTAGGAGAAGAGCATTGGTCCCTTCTCTCTCAGAGCGGGCAAGAGGGCTTGTGGTGACTAAGCCCCCATGAACCAGTAGCCTGAGGGTGGTCAGGATGTGTGTGAGCCCATGTGGTGCCATTTGGACCTTTTTGTGGTGGCGCAAGGAATTCTGCTGCCTGAACCTGGACCTGGGGAGGTTGTTCTGTCTTTGAAGGGGGCATTGGTGACTGGCATGGGTCTTACTCAAGACTTTTGTGTGGCAAGGTGAGTCCGATTTCTCTCTGGCTTGCTTTTGCTCTGAGCATACTTGAAGAGACACCTTGTCTCTTTCCATACCCTTCCTGGCTATGGCACGTCAAGAAACCGCTTCTGCTGTGGAGAGAGCAGGTTCCTGTCAGCCAGGAGTTACGTTTCATCTCCAGTTGTTTTGACTCCTCTCCTGACTACTTATCCCTCCATCACTGGAAGAGAAGCCGTAGACCCAGCTCTGGCAGCTCTTTGAGGCTTTTTTTGGTACATGTCTGTAGATTGTCTTTCACTTCCAGCTTCTATTTTCACTACTGGACTAGCTTGAAGCCGTTGGGGACTATATGTGGTGCATTCATTCAAGCAGGATATTTCAGAGGTCCCTAAAAAAGGAGAATCCAGGTCTGACAGGGTTGTGGAGGAAATGATGTTTGTACCTATAGAGCGGACTGGGTCTCTTTGATGGCAAGTCAAGCTGATGTCCTGCTGTGTTTGGGTAGATGGGCTTTTGGCTTCCTCCATTCCGGTTTTGTCCTCTGCTCCAACCTTAGTTCTAGATTAAGTTGGTTTTTTTTTTGTTTGTTTGTTTGTTTGTTTTTAAAGGACACTGGTGATTTTCAGCCAAGGCTGGAGCCTGATGCTCTGGAAATTACTGGAAGGGAAAGGACAGGACTTGGGAGACTCTATAAGAGTGGAAGAGAAAATTTCACCATAGAAAATTTCACTGATTTCTACACCTTTTCTTTTGAATTGTCATTTTTTTTTTCTCAATTGGAGCATAGTATCTATTGAAATAGGCTTTTTGTCCCTGAAGAAATGCTGGCCTGTGTGTTGATAGCGTGATAGGGTGGGTAGCACTTTGGATGGCAGACTTGCAGCTCAGGGGCATTTCAGGTATCTTGAGGGGGATTTCAGGTACCTTTCCTCTGAGTGTGCTTGAAAGAGCGTGCGTGGCCATGCACGTGTGTGTCTGCATGCAGTGAGCATGCGTGCATGCAGGTAGCGTGTATGCATACCTGTGAGTGTGGCTGGGGTTCAAATGCATGTATGCATGATTTGTGTTTGCTTCTGTGCAAATTAAAGTGCATACTCACCTTGGTAAGTGTATGAACGAGACCAGCATGTTCACGTGCACACCTAGGCACCCTTTCTGTGCAAAGAATGTCCTTCTGGTTCCAGGTTTGCAAACACACTGTAATCTAACCCTCATCTAACTGGCTGTCCCTTCCTTTGGCCACAGCAGTCCTCATGTCCTGAGGTGCTGAGAAATGGAAGCCCATGTCCCCGTCTCCTGTGGTGCATCCTGAGGAGCTGCTCTGTCAATTTCTCTGTGGGCTGCTCAGCTGTGGAGTTTAACCAGCTTCTCATGCTCTTTGGTAATGGGGGAAGCTGGAGTTGGTGACCAGCAGGGAGGACGGTGAAATTCGAGTGAGTCCTGTGGGGATCCACCACTGTTGTTAACTAACTGCAAAGGACAAACCTGGAGCTGCCTCTCACTGCTTCTCCTTTTCCAAGATGTTGAGTTTTAAACGTGAGAGTATTTCGTTTGCTTTGTGTGAGCTGTTCCTGACCTCACCTAGAAGCCAAGGCAAGTTCAGGGAGCAAAACTCAGTGTCTTGAGGGCATTCATAACAGATCTTGATGCTCTCAAGGTGTATATTAGGTAGATTTGGTTGGGCATTATTTGCTATTGAGTCTAGGTGCCTGTGCTCATATTTCTCCAGAGCTTGTAACCCAGCAGTGGAAGCAACCAGGACCTTGATGTGCAACCGGGGATGCACATTCATGAGGCACCCAGCACAAACGTCCTTCATTGATGAATTCAAGCCTCATCCACAAGCAGCTAGAAACCCTGGTGCTGTACTCAGTTAAATGCTCTGTGGGTGTGTGGGATCTCTGTCCTCATGGATTTCCAAGACTACGTAGGAAAATGTTACGCTTGCCCTGTGTTAGCAAAGCACCAATTTCCACCACCACTCCTGTGGTCCTGCAGCCACTGCAGCTTCTCCGTGTCCTTGTGCAGGACCAGATGCAAAGAAGTGCACTGAGCATTGCTGGTCTCTGCAGGCACCTCCTGCTGACCCTGCACTTATGTCTGCGACTCTATATCTTGTTTAAATACATCGCTGTTATCGGGAGGAAATCAGCCCTCGCATCCCGTGTGGGTGATGAGGCTACGTCTGTCTATGTGTGTCATGGGGATATGCGAGGCAATTAGACCTCGTGTTTTATTATTTTTATGTTTTATTTTGTTTGTTTTTGGTTAGCATCTTGCTTGTAACTCTCAGGCCACCATCCAGAATGAGGAAAGTTTTGATTTTTGAAAGCTTTATTGCATATATATGAGTGCCTTCCTTCTAGAAAACTTAGTCTAAGTTCAAATTAGCCTTTTGATTTCTGGGGGATGAATCTAGTAGTTTTGGGTTATAACCATATAAGAAACACTGCCTCTAAGGTAAGGGAGATGGGTCTTGAAACTGTTCTTTCATCCAAGGGCAGAATTTCTTTGCTCCTGTTTTGTGTGGATTTGGGAGCAGCCAAGCCCTGCGTTGCCTTTGAGAAAGATTTAGATTATTATACCATATGGAAATTTTTTACTATGTATGAGATATTTTGTATTTACTCCTCTACTTCATTTGTAATGGAAATAAATCTTTACCCTTCTGTTTGTAATTAAGTGTGTCTAAGTTTTTCTCACCTTTCATACTCTCCTGAGAGCAGTAAAATGATACTTCAAGGGAAGACATGCGCCGCATATTGCTCTTTGCAGATCATTGCATCTGCCTCACTTTTATTTTTATTTTTTTTTTGTCTGTCTGTCTATCTATTGGTCTGCTGGGATTTCTAAAGGAGTGAGGGGAGCGAGATGTGGTTTAACAAACTTCTGCAAAGCCCCGAGTCCACAGTCCATTCCCAATCTCCCCTTTAGGGCTGGGAAAGGAGTCAGGGGCTCAGTCTCCATCTCCTATGCTGTTATGTAGTTCCCTGAGATACAATTTTCCCTTAGTCCTAATTGCTTGTCCTCCTTGCCCTCCCCCTGCCAAAAAAAAAAAAAAAAAAAAATTCTTTTGATTTATTTGATGTGTGAAGGACTTGCACATAGAGAGAGATCGGCCAGATCTGCCAGTGTAAATTAATTCCCTCTGTAGCATCTCTCTGCCTTTACTTATATAACACTCAAAAAACACTCAAAACCATGTAAACACTCAAAACCTTGTTATGGACAGAAGAGGTATCCTATATATGAAGTAAAGGATTTGCCATTACTTTATACAAATTTTAAAAATATTTAGTATTACCGATCATTGGACAAATTCCATTAACATCTTTTCATAGCTCAGTTACTACACAAAAGCCACTGTAATACAGTTTCAAAATTTTATCAAAAGAGAAATTCTTCCTAATATGTACTCCTGCTTTCTGGTGCTTTCTTCACCCTACTGTCTATGTCCTCCTGGGTCCTGAGGCTGACAATTGCAGTATGTGTTGGAGAAGGGGGTTGCAACAAGTGACTGGCTTCAACACTGATGTCTTTAACAGGCAGATCATGATGTTCCTGAAAAAGGTCTCCAACAGGATGCACATCATGGTGTTGATGCTGATGATCTCTTCCTTCTCAGTCTGGGGCTTCGCTTGAGTTTTTATGTTTTATTAGGATAGTCTGCCTGTATAACCATGCTTCCTATCTTCCCATGACACGAGTTTGCACCCTTGCTGTGATTTGGGTTGGTGGGCTGGGGCTTCTGGTGTCCCCCTGTGCCTGCACTCGGACACATCCCTGGAATCAGAGGCTCCTCAGGCCGCACAGAGTAGGTACCTGCTGTCTGTACAAACCAACACCAGAACAAATGTAATGGTGCTGGCTGCTTGACCACTGGATCATTGCTGCCACTGCCAAACGAGCTAAAATCCGCTCAGGCAAAGGCAAAACTAGTTACGTGCTCATACTCCACACTCAGGTCAAGGCAAAGCCATGGCCTCTAGGTAGTAAGGGCAAAAACATATTTACAGGCTATGTTTAAGAGTAGGACCCATCTACCTGCACAGCCAAGAGACCCATGTTAAGTATATCTTTACCTCAAAAAAAAAAAAAAAAAAACCCTATATTTCTCTCTCTCTATATATATATATAGATAGATACCTTCCTAACATTTGAATGTGGGACCACAACACCCCAGCGCAACAAGACCAGGGGAAGCATTGGGCAGGGGAGATGCATCTTCCCCTGGAAACACTTGCCTCAGCCTGTGATTGCTCCTGTCCAATTACAGAGCAAGGAGACCGGCCTTTTCTTTCACTAAATAAACTACAGTGAACGTAAATGATTTGCTTGAGTACGGTGCATGGTGCAGGAGGAACTGAATTTTGCACTTAAGAAAAAAAATCTTATTAGCAAATGAGATTGAGATTGCCTGAAGTAACTATCCTACAACCAAACTAAACTAAATTAAGAATCAAGTTAAACTAAAACTACATGGAAAGGAAAGGAAAGGAAAGGAAAGGAAAGGAAAGGAAAGGAAAGGAAAGGAAAGGAAAGGAAAGGAAAGGAAAGGAAAGGAAAGGAA